ACCTATCGGCCAATTGAATGACCACCCCGGTTTCTTGTAAGGGGCCTACATTTAGAGTCTTAAAGATAGAAAATGGCATCACGTTGATAGATGCACCTAAATCAAGCATAGCCCTATTGATCGTAACATTCCCCAATTTGCAAGGAATGGTGAAAACACCTGGATCTTTGCACTTTGGGGGTAGTTTCTTTTGAAGTATGGCAGATACATTCTCACTCATATTAATCGTCTCGTTACCCCTAAGTTTTCTTTTGTTGGTACACAATTCTTTCAAAAACTTAGCGTAACGAGGGATTGCTTGATTGCGTCTAAAAGAGGAATATTTACCTCGACCTTCCTAAAAGTTTCTAAGATTTCCTTTTCCTCTCTAGCTTTGTTAGACATTTGAAAACGCRTAGGAAAAGGAGGTGGAATTACCTTTGCTTTCTCACTTACATCGTCAGTGGATCCCGATTGTTTCTTATCTTGAATAGGTTTCGGGCTTACCTCTTGCTCTTTCTCCACTTCCCTACTCTTTGCCATATTTGGTTCTTCAAGTTCCTTCCCACTCCTCAAGACAATTGCACTTACATTCTGTTTCGGGTTTGTCTCCGTTTGGGAAGGCAACTTTCCTTGAGATTCCAACCGGCTCACGGAAGTGGCAAGTTGCGTCATTTGAGCTCCCAAATTTTGAATGCTTGCCTCTGTTTTCTGTTGGAATTGAAGAGTATTAGCAGCTAAACTCTTGACAATATCTTCAAGAGACATACCTGGGCTACTAGAAGTAGCTTGATTCGGATTGAAAGGTGTTCTTTGCTGAAACTGTTGTTGTGGTGGCCTTTGCACGAAATTCTGAAATTGAGGAGGTCTTTGGTTGCCAAAATTGTTGTTGAAGAATCTTTGTTGTGGTTGTGGCTGACCTTGATAACCTCCTATAGCGTTCACATTTTCGGCCGTCACCAACACATCCTCTTGAAGTTGTGGGCACGCATCAGTTGGATGGCCCGTTGCCAAGCATATGCCTCAAGCTTTCACTTGTTCTTTATCAACTACAAGCTGTTTGACCAAGTTAGTAAGATCAAACAAACGACTCTCAATGCTCGCGACGTTTATCTCATTGGCCTTTGTGGGCTCTCTCCTCATATCATTCCTCACACTAAATTGTTGGGAATTCTCAGCCATGGTAGTGATTAAAGCTCTAACCTCAGTTGGGGTCTTATTGAACATGGCACCGCCACTGGCGGCATCAATCATCTTCCTATCCATAGGTAGGAGACCCTCATAAAAGTATTGCAAGAGCAATTGTTCTGAGATTCCATGTTGTGGACAACGCACACAGAGATGTTTGAATCTCTCCCAATATTCATGGAGAGTTTCAACATCTCGTTGCTTAATGCTACAAATCTCTCTACGGAGGTTAGCGGCTCGGGAGGCGGGAAAGAATTTGTCTAGAAATAGCCTCGCCATTTGGTTCCACGTCGTTACCGAATCAGGAGGTAACGAGTATAACCAATCAGTAGCCCGGTCCTTTAAAGAAAAAGGAAAAGCCTTTAACTKTATAAGGTCCTCCGTGACCTCGGCCGGTTTCATGCTCAAGCAAACAATATRGAATTGCTTTAAATGCTTATTAGGGTCCTCATTCTCTAACCCGTGATATGTGGGTAAGAGATGGACCAAGCCAGTCTTAAGAACAAAGTTTTGATTACCTGTCGGATACCTGATACAAATTGGAGTTTGAGCAACGTCTTGAGTTGCYAATTGACGTAAAGTCTGCTCATCGGCCATGTTGACCTTCGGATTTTCCTCCTCTTCTTCCTCAGATTCCGTCTTWAGTTCCTCTACTTCGCTTTCAGACKCGGATGGTAATTCAATATCCTTCCAGATGTTGATTACCGGTGAACTTGAAGATTCGCCTTGCGCCTTCCCAAGCCTAGCTAGCTTCCTGAATCGCTTGGCTGTCCGTTCAATTTCTGTGTCTATGGGAATAGGCGTACCTGTACGTGAAGATCTAGGCATAAACCGTTAGAAACACCGAGTCCCCGGCAACGGCGCCAAAAATTTGACGGATGCCGAGTCCACCAAATAATAAATTCCAACTACAAGCTAAATTACAACCAAAATTGTAATAGCGGTAAGTCGGGTCRTATCCACAGAGACTCGGTTTAACTTACTATGTCTAGAAAAATCAAATACAAAGCGACGACTTAACAGTAATTAAAAAAGGGGGGGGGGGGTTTGGATTTGATTAATTAGACTAAACATGCGATTAAAATTGATTATAAACAATGAGAACGAAATCCAACATTAGATCACTCTCGATGATGATGTAAATACTTATCAGCGATCTCGCAAACGTAAAAAGATAGGACAAGCTCAAGTCGGGTGTGGTTATCAACAAGCTCTGACAACCTTCGTTTTCGCCTAACTAGRCATTAGCTAAAATCAGTTCTTTAGCTAAATCTTAACTACAAGTGGAACAATGAACAAGCTCTCAACATCCCAAACGTAATTAGCTTTAACGAATTAGAAAACACCGACTCAAATAATTAAAGCTCATATGCTCGGCTTAATATCACTTTGATTATGAGATTTCAAGAACTCAAATTGAAATCTTTATTGAATTCAAGGAGTTCTATTGTTATCCTATCAAAGCCACAAGACAATTACGTATCTAATGTTTTGAATAACAAGCATTCATAGGACTGTTAACTAATCGGCCAATTTAATTAACGTTCAAATGAAATTAACAATTAACCTAGAAATCACATAAATAAACTTGTCCCAAACAATTACAACGACATCTCAAAGTAGGAAAACATCAAAATCTAAAGTTAACTCATGTTGGAATAAATAAAAATTAGCCAGACATCGCTAAACTAGGTTACCGACTCAAAAGATTGTTAAAGATTTACCGGAAGAATAACSGGAGATTGATGAGAAATCTTGCTCCTTCGATCGATGCCTCTCCCTCTTCTTGCTGTCAATCGACAACCCCTTCGATAACCTGCTGTCCGATCGACAGCTTCTTCTTCTCCTTCTCGGCTGCTGCCTCTCTCGCCTCTATCTTCAATCGACAGCCCCTTTCTTTTCGACAGCCTCCAAAACGAACAGCCCCTCTTTTATCCACCGACTTTGCTCCCTCGATCCCTCTCTGCCCACGTCTTCCGTCTCGCTGCCCACGTCTTCCATCTTGCTGCCGATTTCTCTCGATCTCTTGCTGCCTCTCCAGAAACTGCTTCTGCTGCTGTTGGACTGCTATTTTTGCTGGGTTGCTGGACTGTGGGCTGCTGGTGCTGTGGGCCTTGATGAAGTCCACAAAAATGTTTCTTTTTGGGCTAGACTTCTACAAACAAACAAAAAGATAATATAGATTAAATAAACACATTATTTTCTCATAATGATGAAAATAAAAGGCTTTTTAACCTTAATTTTAAACCAAGAAAATATAGCTATCAAAGATCAAGGGATCATATTCAGCCTTGCCAACAACACAATAAAAGAAGTCATGGAGAGCTGGTCTGGTATAAAAGCAAGACCGATTTCCAAATCGCCTTGTAGCTTGGAGTGGAGCAACTCTCTGTCACTCCACCAGAAGAAAATCTATATCTGATAAACAACATTCCTTCAAATTCAGTCATCGAGAAGCCATAGCTTGGTTTTATGTAGAAAATTGAACACATAGACAAACTCTTCATCAAAGTTAGGGAAAGCTTTAAATATTCAACTATGACTCTAGAGTAATCATAAAGAGAGATCCATAAAAGAATTGGAAAAGACACAGTTTGGAGAGAAATGGCCTTGGATATAATACATTGCATTCAGAAGGTTCTGGACTACAGAAAGTTGATCATAATTCATAAAAGATGCCCGTACGGTTGTTCGATTCTATCTTTTTTTTTTGTTATTATATGATTTTTCTTTTATCTTCCCCTCATCATGCGAAATAGAGAAACCTTTTATTATCTTATATCATCAGGGTAATGATCCATTAACCTGCTGTTCTTTTTCTGAGGTAGCAACGGGAGAATTAATTCTAGAAGTGAGAGACGGCCTATCACAAGATCTATATAAATATGCTTCTGTAATGTAAATGTCAATGCTCTTTTGTAATTTGCTATCTTTTTTATCAATGAAGTGTTTTAACAAAGGACCATGTTGGCCTCTTGTTTTCTTGTGTAAATTTCAATTTTCATAAGTTTCCTTCTTACAACACGTAGGGGGAGATTGTTAGCACCTTTTCTTATTGTAAAAGTATTGTAAAAAGAAGCCAATTCCTCAACCAGAAGACTTCTACTCAAATGATAGTTGAACTAGAGACCAAGTTGAACGTCATCAAAAGATGTAAAGTTACTTAACCAGAAGTTAATCTAGAGGAAACAGAGTCTCTGGCCTAGCCAAGACCTTGGAAGGTCGGCGAAAAGAGCTAGAACAACGAGAAAAAAGCTGGGAGTTCGGAGCCTTTGGTCATGTTATACACTTATGATGAATTCAACTTCAAGGATCTCTCCAAGTACTATCTGCCTATCATAGCCTGCCACGTAAATAGAAAAGATTATTTCAACTTTACACGTGGAAATCAACCATTAGTGAATGTGTTCGACTTTCCTTGTAAGGGCTATAAATAGGTGATCCTTTTAGGTAATTAGTATGCTTTTCTAATGAAACCATCCCATATTTGCTAGAGAGAGATTAAACTTTTTTGAGAACTTCATACACGCACTACTATGTGTTCTTGGAGTAAATTCTGCAATCTTAGATTGCTAATCAGTACACATTATGACTTCGATGATCCAACTTATTGTTTATGTTTATTTCATTGTTCTCATATAGTCTTGGATAGTAGTTAATGCTCTTTGCTTCTGCTTACTTATTATTTTTCACATCAATTACTAGTAATTGAGGATATGGGTTCCTACACCATGCCTGTCTCTCATTCCCACTAGAATAACTTTTCCTAATGGAGATGCTGCGACCATATCCTACACTGGTCATGTAGTTCTACCCTTTGGTTTGATCCCACATTTCAAGCACAATCTTCTCTCGGTGCAAAAGATAATCAATGACAGTTATTGTGAAGTTAAATTCTTCTCTACTCATTGCACCATTGTGGACAATGTCACCAAGTAACTAAGAGGTGTGGTTCAAACAAAAAATGGGTTGTATTATGTAATCCATGAACCCTCTCTCAATTCCACATGCCTTCCAACAAACAAAACCACGACACTTTAATACACTCCCCCGATGTCTCTAATTAATGGGTGTCAAGTCTGACAAATAATTATTTCTTATTATCTCAAATTACATCCTAAATTTCAATAGTGCCAAGTAGGGTCGAGTCCACATGGATTGGATGTGAATGTTGTCAAACTTCTACACTTTATGTAAGGGGGTTGGATTAAGATACTAGACTAAAAATATGAAATTGAAGTAAAAAACGAATAATTATAAATTAGCAATGAGTTCACTAACCAGACTGTGTATTATAGACTTGTTTATAAAAGGGATTTTCTCATTTTATTCTAGAATGACAATGAACATCAATACGCACCGACACTCTATTTGTCCGTGAAATTAAACTAGCATGAAATGCTCAATAAACTAATTCATAATCGGCTAATTAAGTATATTTATGAACATAGTCTCAACTATTAGGCTTAGACATATGCCATTCCTAGTCAATGATCGGACGTCGACCATTTAGACTAGATTAAGCAAACTCACAACACTAAAATTAATTGGATGCCCAATCAATTGAAGTATTTCTTGCTACTAAAATAGGATTGAGAACAATTATGGATTCACAACTCTATCTAGCAATTGTCAACTAGGCTAAACGATTCAAAGGTACCGACTTAAATGAATAACACAACAATGATAAACGATTAAATCAATGTTTGCATAAACGGGAATTGAATTATATGAAAAGGTTCAACAAATCTCAACACAATCCGAGTCAAATGAATATAAACACATTGCTCGATTGAGAAAGATTAACTAAGAAAGGAAAGATTAAACCTACAAACTAAAAATACCTAAAGTATTTGAAGAATTACCAACAAAAGCTTCCCCAAAAGCGCCTCATTCTCCTCTATGGTTGCTCTCTCCAAATTCTGTCAACCCCTCGATAAAAAAGACGGTTCCTAACTTCAATTTATACCCCCATGAGAACCGCTCGAAAGAAAACCTAAAAATCCCATGATCTTAGGTCTCAGGCGATTTTTAGCGCCTCAAATGCTGGAGAAGTCGCCTAGCTTGGAATATGCAAATCGGTAGTTTGTAAGGCGGGTAACGCTACGATTAAATTCGCCGAAAAAATCGTCTCTAAATAAACATCAATTGTGTCACTAGACGAAGGTCATATGGCTGTTGGTTTGGGTTGTGATGCGGTCATGGAGCTGCTTCCAACAAAACAACAAAAACCCAAATTTAAGTGGCCTATTTTCTATTTTCAAAAATTTTAATACTGGTATTATAATAAGCTCAGAACGTGTAAATCGGGAGGTAAATTTGCCGTAAAATTTATATGCAAAATGATACTTATCACTAATCCTCTGGACTTATGGCATCACATATAGGGTCATGAATAAATGAATAAACTCAGACATCCTTGTGTTCAGGCCTACACTCATACACATTCCAAGGTGCCCCTGACATGTCCTATGTCTAAGTTTAACAAGCTGCCATTTTCTCTTAGTGAATCCTATGTCTTGGAATCATTTGAAATTTTGCACAGTGATGTTTAGGGATTTTACAGAGTGTGTTACGAGATTAAATACATAAATCTCCTCACAAATGTTGCTGATCATACAAGAAATACATGGGGTGTACTTGATGCAATTCAAATTTGATTTTCTAACCAATCTGGAAACCTTTCTGAATTATGTTAAGAACATTTCAAAAAGCATATCAAGCTTATCAATCAAAAAATGCATTGGAATTTGATGATACCAATTGCAAGCAACTTTAGCTAAACATGGAATCGTACATCAAACGTCTTGTGTCAACAGACCACAACA